CCGCTCGGCCGCAAACAAGCTCGGCGAATCACAGCGTGTTTTGGCCCGCAAGTGTCAAGGGAACATATCACGAGTGTCAAGTTTCAGTGTCGCGAGTGGCAAGTTACCATAGCGCCAGTGTCAAGTCGCAGTATCGCGTGTGTCAGGTTACCACATCGCGCGTGTCAAGTGTTGCAACGACCAGACGTGTGACAACTCCTGAAAAACTTGTGTGCGTTACATGCCAAGGGCTCAGCCCAATCGCCAATGACGGCTGAAAGTGTCAAAAATCACGAACCCCAACGCTGTCCTGCGGCTTGCTGGGTGAACACTTTCCTGTAAGTGCTGAGTGAACGCTGCCCTGCGGGTTGCTGAGTGAACGCTGCTCTGCGGGTTGCTGAGTGAACGCTGTCCTGCGCGTTGCTGAATGAACGCTGTCCTGCGAGTCGCTGAATGAACGCTGTCCCGCGGGTTGCTAAGCGCGCGCATGAATTTTAACGCGTTCATTGACAACGCAAGCTATTTCACGTTTGATGTGCCTGACATGCCTGCGAGTAAGGCGATGGCCATCAGCCCGAAGAGACACGCTGGTGAGGATGTGCAGCCGCGCCTGCGGAAGAAGATCCCACGGAAACCGCTCGTCTGGGCAACGATTTCCTGCAAAGTGTTTCACGCCCCGCGATCTGCCCCAGGCTTTCCAATTTCGCCGGTGTGTTGGACCGGGAACGGTGCCTCGGAAATCACTGCTGTCGTGTCGGTATCAGCATTGGCCGGCCGCCGACTTGTGCCTCTGGCCGGACATCGCTGTTCCGTAGGCGAGGAAACGAGGGCAAGCGAGGACAAACAAGCGAGGACACTCCGCAAGCGAGGCGCTGCAACCACTTTTTTCCTTCCAGTGATGCCGCGCAAGTGATGAGAAGGGGCGGCAAAAACGGGCGTGCTGGGCGCCGGGATAAGCCACAGTTCCTCCATCACCGGCTGGCACTGATACCCGATGGCATGTTATGCCTGTGTACAGAGTTCGCTGCTGCTGTGAAGGCAACTCGGCATGCTATGCGCTCTCGAATTTCGTCCACACCACACGTGCCTACGTACTTAAGTAAAAAGCGTGCAGACTGTTTTTGCCTTTAGCTTTGGTACTGACAACGGAAACAAATTATGACAAAGTGGCCCTGGCAAAAACTGGAACCAGTACCTTCAGTACGGTACTGGTTCAACCGCGATATCAAGAAATCGTGGAGACATGTTTTGCAAACACCATGTACTTGGGGAGGGTATCCCTGCCAACACAGTGTCATAAGTTTTATGTGAAATGTTTCACTCACCCTTCCCGCCACCCCGATCCTCCACCCTAGCCATACCCCCACCACAACCCCAGCCACCTCACCGTCATGCGGAAGTGTTTGTGAGCGATGCCGTAGACGATGGGATTGAAGACGACGCTGCCCTTGGCGAAGACGGCCGGCAGGGCGGTCACCCACTGCGAGAGGGTGCCGACGCTCCCGAACTGGCCCACCAGCGTGACGGCCGCGTACGGCAGCCACGCGGCCGTGAAGATCAGCACCAGCACCAGCACCATACGCAGGATCCGCACCGACACGGACGAGACGCCGCCCCGCACGCACTCGGGCAGTGAGTGCATGACCTCGGCCATCTCCCGCTCGTGCCGGGATACCTGGCGGCCGGGTCACAGGTCAGGTGGGCCGGGACAGAGGTCATGTGGGCCGGATCACAGGTCACGCGGGCCGGGTGACAGGTCCGGTGGGCTGGGTCACAGGTCAAGTGGGCCGGGGTCACGCGTGTCGGGTCAGAGGTCAGGTGCGCTGGGTCAATGGTTAGGTCGGCTGGGTCGGGTGGGTTTGTGGTGGCGTGGCGTTTGCCGGCGGAGACCGGACGGGAAAGGGGAGGCAGCTGGGTCGGTGGGGTGGAGGTTAGTTAGCTACTTGTTGGGTTTTCAAGACGAGTCAATGGCAGTTGTTATTTGCGTCGCGGTGGGATAGCGGGATCGAAGGACGAGGGGCATAGGGGTCAGAGCAGGGGTCAGGGTCGAATTGATCATGCAGTCGAATCAAGCAACACGTAGTCCAGTAAGGCAGATAGTAGGACCAAACCGGACGTTGGACACTGAGAGTCAGCGATGATAGTGCAAAATAGCATTCAGTGTGACCTCCCACGGGTTACAACGTGGCCAATAGCAGTGTGACCTTCCACAGGCCACAATGTGGCCAATAACATTCAGTGTGACCTCCCATGGGTCACAACGTGGCCAATAGCACCCAATGTGACCTCCCACGGGTCACAACGTAGCCAATAACACTCAGTGTGACAACGCGGCTAATAACACTCAGTGTGACCTTCCACGGGTCACAACATGACCATGAAACAGACACAACTAGGCTCGTCAAATCACAGGCACGACCTACCATTCACTGTGTATTGCTACAACACACTTAAAAGGCAGATCATCGGACAAACTGTAACTAACCAGCGGCAATACAGTGGAAAGTGGCATCATCAGTGGCAGCGGAGTGCGCAAACGAGGCCGCCTATGTCCCGCTTGAACCCAATTAGCTGTGGCTGCGCACATATGAGGCAATCTTTATCGGCAGCAGAGCAGAAAGTGCCGTGCTATAATTAATCTTCCCACGACACACAGATAAGGGCCAATTATCGTTTTTAATTGTTTGTATCTGTAAATGGTGGTTTCCCAATGACGTCAGCGGTGTCACCCGCTCACAGAGTAAGAGACCTGGGATAAATGCCAGGCGGAGCTTCTCGAGACCCATTCCAGGCCCTCTTTACCGCATTGAAAAAACTGTTAAATACGGATTCGCTAAACCGCCAGCGTGTTTTTGCGGCATTTTTCCATGTCTTGCAGAGCTTTGACCCCAGGCCGCTCAGATCACTGACCAACCACGCGAATGTTCCAAGAAGCTGCTAGCGCCGCCGTATTTGCAACCAACCGATGCCAGTGAGACGCCTGTATTAGCCTGAGACGAGGGTGATGCTTACAGGGCATTACCATGCATATGACGTCACAACCAAAGCGGATGACTTCCACACATGAATGGACGTAGCCAGTCAGCTTAAAATCTCACGCAAATGAGAAAAAATTGTATCGATGCATCAGCATGCCCATTTTTCCTGAGTTCACCCAGAGCACAGTCTCACTCACGCGTGACGTTCAGGCATAGCTTGATGAATAACGTTGATACAGATACAGACACAGATGTGTGTATTAGGCAGCTCCACTCCTATGGACTATATGGTGTCCACCTGAGATGACCACAATACATATGGTGTCAATATCTGATAGTGCAAGACATTGCCCACACGCTGACGTTGCACCTTTGCATTTCAGTATACCTTTTAATTTAAGTCGAGCTATATCAACCGATTGGGAACGAAATATTTCGGCGTCAATTTATCGGTAGTAGACTCCCCCTGGAACTGTGCAGCCTAATCAGCATAAATTTGATGTTTCATTCTTGCCTGCAGTCTAAAACTTGAAGACATACAATAAATGCTCAGCAAATTTCACCGCCGTTCGCCGGACATACCCTCTTCAGTTGCATGACTTCGGCTATTAATATTTGTTGAATTTTGAAACCTATAGCCGCCATTTACGTTCTCAATTATTCATAAGTTCTGATATTTCTTTTTTATCACTTAAGCTGCTTATAAGTCAAAGCCCTTTATATAAATAATGTACACATTTCAAAATTCAGCTGAAGGTATGTCTGCCGAAATATAGTAAGCTTTTTAACCTATCTATTGTATTTCTTTGAATTCGAGGCTGAGGTCAAGAGCGTACGGTATAGTTTCGGCGTTAGCTGTCGCTAAACTCCTGCAAAAACGAATGCCTTTGCACTCCTTGCGCTTAGCACAAAAAGGACAAATGTACTGTTCTAATCACATTGGTTACGGCAAACTACACCAAAAACGTTTTACTTACCAAACTAATACAAACAACATTTTTTAACACTTCTAGCACATTCATTTGAATTTAAATACAACATAATAACAATTGAAAGCGTTTTATCTCACGCCTGGCCGCTGGTCAGTACGCTAAGTCTGAGTTACTTTACACATGACCAGGACATTTTCTTGTAAGTTTATGGGGATAAGTGAGGTTTATGGGGATAAGTGAGGCCTTTGAAGCTACGTCCGCATGACGATGATCAGACAACTGATTACAATCAGACAATCAGATCAGACAACTGATTACAATCGGTGCTCTGAAGGCGACACTACCCCAGCGTACTTATATCAAGCAGGCGAAATCAGACGTTGGCTCCCACATTTGTATTCTGGGTAGGTCCTTGTACATTTGGAGACCAACATTTGGAGATCCTCTATTAGACTGTTGGTCCTTGTACACCTGGGTATAAATGTTTTATGGTCCCCTGCTTGTCTCCTGCATAAAAACTGTCAGCCATTCCACCTGATGACGCAGCATAGCTCGAGATCAGTTAAGAATTAACCTTCTGCTCCTTGTTCAGCATTCCGCGTGACATCCCAGCGAAGCGCTTTGAAAACTTGCCCCTGATTCAACGTGCAGGAGGCGGAATGTAGTGGAGACAACATAATACATACCATGTGTGTAATGTACACAGTGGGTGCTGTACGCTGTAACAGGCCAAAATGATGCGCCATTGAGCATCCCGGCCTGGCCAGGCCCGGCCGATCTTCTCCTTATGACCATGAATTACGACTGAGGGTGAACCAATCTTCGAACATTGGCTTCGAGGAGATCGAAACCATTACCACGCGGTCACAAACTCTCCGGGCAGCGTCTCCGAACTTGGATAGTTACTGTTCACTGCTCCAGGCGTTATCAAAATGCCGATCCAACAACAGAATGGGCACCGACTCGCGGCCGTCCAGCTGGGTGATCAGCTGGAAGGGGGTGTTCCACGTTTGTATGGGGTTCTCAACTGAAATAGCCATGTTGAAATAATTCGGTGCAGTTCACAGCCCAGCCCATCTTAGAACCAAAAACCTCTAGTTTCTGAGCTATGTGCCCGCACCACGAGTAAAAATCGGCCTGCATACACCAAAAATAGTCAATCAGTATCTCTCCTAAAACGTGGTGGTTAAATTGTGTTCCGTCATCGAAAGCAACTCTGAGCTACTCATGAGGATTTCGATACGTACTCCATTTACGGAGTTAAACACACACAAAACGATATGCTGGCCCGGCAATGGATGCACAGCATGCAACAGGCCAGTCAGTAAACTCACGGAAAATAACCACGACGGGAATGTTTATGTCTAAGAGAACAACATACACAGACACGCTGAGCGTTATAAAGCCAACGCCATCAAATGAACCGCCCTGTTCATGTATCAGATGCGCCGCAATGTCTCCACACTCTAAAGGCCATAATGGCCGTCCCGATGGCTCAGCTGGTTAGAGCACCTGCCTCCCGATCCACCTGCCAGTGGCGGGGTTCGTTCGAGTCGCTTTCGGCGCTCGCTTTTTGGGCCCTTGACAGCCAGGCCCGCAGCGGCCGCGCTAAAAGTCATGACACGTCGGCGGCAGGGCGGACCGTGCCGAACATTGCGGTACGTTAAACTTTCGCCACCAAATTCTACCACCCACCACCAAATTCTACTGTTGACCTGGAAATTCACGATCACATGGTAAGGATCAGTGCTCACACAAGCACCGCTTAGAGTGAGCTCCCGTCCCCCACATCCGGCCGTTCAATGGTTCGGGTAAATCTGAGACCTGAACGGGCGCCTTACACGCCAGCAGACTCATGACGATAGCTCGATGCACGCTCCCGCTGGCCGATCGCTGATGAGCATCCACAAGTCAAGCTCAGTCATGTATTTCATATAGAATGTGTCATCCAGGGTTTCCATCCACGCCCGCCAAATACGTAACGGGAGACTGATAAAACACACGCACACGTCTGTTGTTTAAGTCGTGTACACCCTGCCTGCACGCATCACTAAAACTTGGCCAGGGTCAGAACGCCGGCTGTCCGAGTGCTGCCTGAACAGCATGTTCCTTTTCACGCGCGTTCTAGCGCGCAGTAGTGTATGCCTCGACACTGCTGTGCTATGGTGTCTACTAGTTTCTGTTTTTAAAATGTGCATGCCGTAGCAGCATGTGCTGTGTGATCATGTAATCATGGCGGCAATCACCAGTCACGGGGTGATTGCCGCCATGCGTGATCGCGTCACAGTGTGATGCACTCGTGGCATGTTGCCAAGCTGATAAACCGAACGCCAGCACGTCCAACATGTGTTCGCCCTGTTTCCGCCCGCTGATCCTCCTGGCAGCGTGCCAATGTCTGCTGTGTTCACGTCAAAGTCACACGTGTCAATCCTGGCAATCGTATAGCTACAGCCATCGTCTAAGACAACCTACAAGCATCAGGAGGCCGGGAACAGCTGGAGACCGCAAGCAAGCGCTCCCGATGACGCTTCGGGTGGCAACGTGTCGTGACATAGCATTAGATAATACATTTGTGTTACATCCCGACAAGCAAGCAGGCGGAACGGACACGTGATGAACATCAATGTAGGTAAATATCCAGGTTTATGCGTGGATTGAGCTGCGAAGAGAAGTTTAAGGAGACGTGCCATATTTGTGGTATATCTCAAAAACATACTCCAGTGAAATTTTGTGACCAGTCAACTTTTTAGGACAGTACCAGAATAAACTTTCTTTGCAGCCCCATACTAAATTTATAGAATGGGGATCTAGAATGGGGATCTTGCAAGACAAGGAAATGGCAACAAGGTGACGGCGACGCTCGCGGAGGAGGCGGCACAAGTGACTGCGAATAGTATTTGTTCCCAATTCTTGAAAACGTAACAATAAAAAATTGGCCACGTTGTAGAAAGTTGGCAAATGACAGAGGGCATTACCGTTCACAAAAACACAACAGATTCTGAATGACTCAGGAAATACACTTCACTTTGAAATTGGTCATAGCACCTATCATTACTTTGTCGACCTGTGCCTACATCTTATAGGTGAAACTGAGTCTATATGGCTCTCTCAACATGCATGTCTGTTACGGAAAGAAAGACCACATAATATCACGACAAAGGCGGATTAGGTATCTACAGGCTATTTATGCAGCATAGCATGAACATGATACTAGTCACGCGCTCGTGCAGTGTGCAAAATACTCCAGGAATGCATTTGAAGTGTACGAAATACTCCAGAGATGTATGTGGTTATTTCCTATGCCCAGTACATCTGCAGGCATCCTACATGCATTGGGGTGATTAGAGGAGAATTTAAGGAGGGGCTCAGGTCAGCAGGGGGGCCCGGACCCCAAACTATATAAAGTGACGCCAACGCAGGCACGTGAACCATGACTATTGATTGCGCTAGGCCGCTAGGCGTCTCCGCCATCCATGTGGTATCTTTCTCACAGCATACTGCGTGCTCTGCTCACGTCCACACTTTGAGGATGAATGACCACGACTACTTGGATACCATCCTCTGTCTCTGGAATTCTGTAAATCCAGGGCGACTGTTCCGGGTTTCTCAAATCAAGACAGCCCGTCCTCGTTTCCAAAAGATATTGACTGAAAGTTTATCTGCACGCCCCACATATTACATAGGAACGTCACTATGAACGCAAAATTTCTGCAACAGTCGTCGCCCCCCCAAAACACCAACGGTGAGGGGATGCCCGGTTCCCTCCGGCCTCGGGACATCAGCAGCGACTCGCCAGGTGAAGCTGCTCACGGAATGTGTACCGGTATGGTTAAAGAGCCTGAGGCAGGTCGCGTCGAAAAGCCCACAGCATTGACCCCTGGCCATTTATCCCGAAAGCTTCATCGAATCTGGTCAGGTTCTGCCACGGGTCAAAGTGGTGTCCGCCATGAGGTAGCTAAATCAAGTCCATCTGTGGTTCGGCGCATTCAACCACGGCCAAAGCCCGAATTAAAACCTCAATTCGGCTCATGTTGTTCTCTCTTGCTGCCATTCTCCGCCACTGGGGTTATACTTGCTCAAAATAGGTTGGGGATGAGGGCCTGAGCAGGGAAGAAACGGCAAAATTTACGTTTAGGCACAAAAGACTTTTAAGAGGCAGATTTCTCACCGGACTTGGAGTTGGTGTTTGGCCGGCATCAGCTGAATAGAAAATGGGCGGAACTGCCCGCGAACACTGGTCCTATGGCCTGATTTTTTTGTACACGCGTTATGAGCCCGGCGTTTCCAAACGACTGGTGGATGATGCTGTGGCTTCACACGGGCGCAGCAGCTACTGCAGGTCCTCGGCCCAGCGGATAAGCCGGCCTCGAGTAGCTCCAGGAGGGTCGTACTGACCAGTCGTAACGTCCATGGTGCGCCGGCGCTGTCGCAGCAGCTGCGCCGGACCGTGGAAAAAGCTGATGGGATCGGAGTCCGGGTCGGTGGCGTCCAGGGAAGCGCTCCTGTTTCGTCGCCTTTTGTACACGCGGATCCGGCCGGGCTCGAAGTGGATTCGGAACTTGCGCAGCTCACTCCGGCTGACAATATTTGCTCGTGTATTTGGAGGCCAGAGTCGCCCAGCCGACGCCGGAGTGTGGCGCTGCACCTCGCTGTACTGGTTGCCCCAGCCTCCGATGGACGATGCTGTACATGTGCGAGTGGTCCCAGATGATGGTGTCGCTGGCGAGCCAGTTGCAGTCGGAGGAGGCGCGGCAGTCGAACGTCACCGAGAAGGTCGACGTCGTCGCGCGGCGGAACAATGTGGAATACCTGGCGGCAAAGGAGACGCGGTTTGCGAAACTGGCTCGCACTACTTCAAGGTCCACAAGCCCTGTCTTTTGTTGCATTGGTCGCAGAAGCGCTCGCTGCGGACACTGAAGCAAACCCAGTCGCATAAACGTTCAGATTTGCGAGCTATTTGGTCATAACTGGCCTTTGCAGATCTAGATATGGACACCCAGATTTGTATTCGGGTCTTTCCGAGTTGATTGGATGTATGTAGTAGCTAGGACAGTGCTGTTCCATTATGTAAACCTCGTAAAATAAAAAGTTGGTGCCTCACCGTCATTAAAACATGAATGTTCCGTATGTTTTCAATGTACTCTGTAGTTCATTGTGTGAATAACCTTGCCGATGATACTACACCAAATATTTCCGAAATTGTCCCGCAGTAACGCCCGAGAGACGGAAAATCATCGACCAACCACATAGGCGGAACAATCCTCTGCATGGCGTGCCCTTTGGCAGTTAGTGGGCTAGCGTGTTGAGCAACTTTACCTGGGTATGGTGTAGACGCGGTCATCGGACCAGTTCCCATCCAGAGGTCCACCATGCCGTTGAAAAAGCGCCACCGTCCCTGCAGCGCGGTGAATATAATGTAGCCAGGCGAGAAGGGCTGCGGGTCATCCCAGCTGATGTAGGTGTTGATCCCGGCCTGTAGAAGCGCATCTGGCCGCTGCACCAGTCCACGCCGTACCTGCGGTAGCTGCTGCCGCCCAGCAGATCACCTAAGTAGAAGGCGAAGGTGTCACTTTTGACCCTTCTTGAATCCGCTCGGCGTAGGTGGCGCTGTTGCCGTTGTAGCCGATCCTAAAGTGGTAGCGGTTGGAGTAATGTGTGCTGGACTCGGTGAGCACAAACCGTAGGTCGTCAGTGGCCTGTGCGTCGAATTCCATGGAACAGATCCCATGACCAGTTTCTTGAACACCCAGTTCGCCGTCGGTGGTGAGCTTTATTTCGGCCTTCTCGCAGAGTGGTGGTGTTGTATTTCCAGCTGCGGAGTCGCAGACACACTGGCTGGACGAGCATAGTGTGCCGCCAGTGACGTGGTACTGGCACTGGTTATGCTCCCGACACGGCTATCAAGCCTGCGCAGGCAGATGTCGTCCCGGCAGCGGCCGCCGGCCGTGCAGATACTGTCAGTCCCAGCTGGCTTTCGGACTCCTGGGACGGGTCGGGGACGACGTCGTACCAGGTCCAGCCGTCGGCGCTGGCGACGTAGTAGTCGTAGTGGTCGCAGACAGTGACGGTGAAGATTCTCGCAGACGCGCGTCCACCCGGTGGTGGTTGAAGCTGCGGCAGTCGCCGCGCTGAAGGCAGACAGCTGACACTGGGCGGCCGAGATGGGACCGTAGGCGATGGAGACGCAGTCAGGGGACTGCGCGGGGACGAGGCCCAGTGACGTGACCTGTAGTCACCAGGGCAGGACCAGCACCGCCAGCCACACGGAGCGCATGGTGCCAGCGTCCCCGCTGTCTGGCCGAGAATGTGGGGCGACGGAAGTCCTGCTCACGGATTTCGCTCGTTAATCTTTCAGTAGCAATACAGGACGCTTGCCGTCGCAGCGCCCGTGTTAGTAAGCCACGTTTCCATGGTGCACCGCGTTTTTGTAGCATGCCCTGATGGCCTCGAGCCGTCGGCATACAATAATGATGACCGTGGTAACTATCCACTATTTTTGGCTGCGGATGTTTCTTTACGGCTGACGCCGGTGATGGCCGCGTGCCCGTATGCGCCGCGATTGTGCATCCGATTGGCGCGCCAGTTGTGGTTGGGAAGGCCGGTCGTCCACTGCGGAGAGGCAAAGCTCCCGGCCGGACTGCTGACAACGGGCAGCGGTGGCTCCCGGTCGTTCGCCTGCGCGCAGTCACGCATCGCCTGGCTCCAGCGGTGGGCGTGACCTTATGACCCCGCTCCTCACCGGTTACGTCGCACTGTTCCGGCCGGACCTTATCCCCCCCAGGCCGCCTTCACGGCTGTAGGCCTGGGGGGGGGGGGGGGGCGGGAAAATGTGACCCGCAATTTATCGCAGGCACCTGGCTTTCAAGCAGAATGTTGTTTGTCGTCGAAGGGGCTGACGTTCTTACAATAGGTATCAGCTTCTTGCTGAAATAGCCAATATCCGATATAACTATTTTTAGGATGAACACTGCTAGGAGTCATTTATCATCGAAGTTGAATATCAGTGATTGCATGTGACCGACTGTGAAGAAGTGAACGTTAAATTATGTTTTGGTACTCCCACTTGCACATGTAACTACCTTGCACATGTACTACCTTGCACATGTAACTACCTTGCACATGTAACCACCCAGGGTGCAACGCTGAGCGGGTCGTTCAATGACTTTGTACTGCCTGGCGTTTAATTTCGCAAACGAACGCGAACTGATTTCGCAAACGAGTAACTTCCACTTCCACGCTGATTAAGTTTTGCGCTGGCTGGCCCAAAGGGGGCATGTGTAATACTGTTGATGTTTACGGCATGTCGGACAGATATCTCAAGAAATCCACGGTCCCACAAGGAAATTGACTGTCGGGATACTCAGTCTGTGAGGCTTAAGCATAGTCAAAGGTGGACTGCTGTCACTTTTTGGCCGACAAAAGCTTATTAGCCATCATACTTAAATACAACCATCATAAATAACCATCATACTTTCCGACAAAAGACGGAAACAAATTAATTGAAAAGGACAAAGTATTTTCGTGCAGCGCTATTTGCAAGACTACATCCGTGTCGCGTATTCCGTGCGCTACACTCATTAATATGTGACCAGAGGTGACTAACGCACTTTGCACCTTAAGCCAGTAATGGCTGAGACAGAACTCGGCCGCAGGACGCAGCTGAGCTCGGTGAGGTCCCAGAATGATGGCGTTTTGACCCACACTGCAAGGTAATGCTATTCCACAGCCCACTGATTCATAGAGCCTGAAGTAGCAGCCGTCTTCCACTGAGCTGTGACATGAGAGTCGCGTCCTGTACACGTTCTTCAGCCATCAGCGAGCTCCCACCCTTCGCAGCTTGTGGTATTTGTCCGTATCCCCAGTCCGTGACCGTGACAGACATTTGACAACTGATGCCTGAAACTGCGGCCGCGCACAGCCCTATGGAGGGAACAGAACGCTGGATCGAGCTTAGAACGCTGGAACGCTGGGAACAGAGCGCTGGAACGAGTTTCACTGGTGCTCAACGGAAACACTGAAGTTCAAGGGATGAAGCTGTTTATTCAGCTCTGTACATTACGTCGAAGCGTTATTTGCACATAGTAACTTCTTAACCCCCGGCCGTACCGGAGGGGTTTCCGAGGCCCCATTTAGGTTGTTTTCTCCAAAGTGGCGTTTAATCGGTTTTGAACACAACGTTGATTAAGATTGCTCTTTGTGATCTAAGTCACTCTGACGTGCATTACAATCGTCTTCCCCACCTTCCCAAGGTCGGGTCATCCAAGGGAATGCAAGGTCAAGCATTGACCTTTTTGACCGGATTTAACCCAATGAATGTTGCAAAACTCAAACTAAGATAGATCATTTCTTTGTAGTATTGGAATATCTTCAAGACGTCGTTTTCCCCCTTAATATGGTTTGTTTAATTATTGATATGGCCGCACGGCCAATGCAACAATAACTTTGATCTCTTTGACCCGGCCTGGCATTTGACCTGTCTTGACATGCATGTGGTGCAGGCACATGTGCCGATGTCTGTTATTTTTCATATCATACAGGTTTTCAAGGGCTGCTCAACGCTTTATGTCGCAACGTCGTAGAATGTTCAGTAATTGAGATATCTTGAGGGGTGTCACCGTGTCACCGCCTGTCTCACTACCCAGCGGGGGCACGTGACACCGTCAGGCACCGACTGCTGCCATACTGCCGGTGCTGCCATACTGCCATACTTGTCGGGGGAAGGGGGCATCAGCCTCACCCCTTTCCGTTCGAGCTATGAAACACGGTACACGGCGAGGATTAAAGGACCCTTTGCAACACGGCACATTAGGGCGAGGGTTAAGGGACCCTTTGCAACACAGCACATCAGAGCGAGGGTAATGAACCCTTCGCAACACGTCATATCAGAGCGTGGATTAGGGACCCTTTGCAATACGGCATATCAGGGCGAGGATTGAGGGACTCTTTGCAATATGGTACATCAGGGAAAGGATTAAGGGGCCCTCTGCACGTCGCAACACATTGATGGCAGCCGCACTTATCACTTAATAATATATTCACCCCAAAGTGCCTTCATTTCCCTTAAACAAATACATTTTCCAGCGCTACTGACCTGTCCATTTTGATGCGATTAAACATAGTTATCAGAGTACAGCCTGCTACTATTAAATATGACTTATCATCAAAGCCATCATAAGTGCGGATACGAACTAGGTACCTGGATTGCATCCACGCATTTTCAGATAGTGGCGCACAAAACAACAGATAAAGTGAAACGTGTCCATGTGTGCACGAATAAGACCAGACTGAGACAGATTTTCATGATATGACATCGCAGACGAAAAAGCGACGCGCGAAGTTCTAAAAGTGTTTCAAAGTACATGCATCCGAAATCGACATCATTTTCCATCACGTGGAAGCACTGCTATTTGTTCGATGGCAAAATCGTTTCACGCCTTGGCGATATTAGAATGACACAGAAAACTTTAATTTCACCTTTACCGTCGTGAAAATATTTTGAGGTACGCGAAACTGCGTTTTTGTGTCTCCCCCCAAGGGCGCAGGTAGGTGGCACAGGGGCACGTCCCCCCCCCCTCCACCCCCACCCCTACCCCCTCATCTTTAGGTTTCGAGGAGCCCTTTGGGCCCTCGGAACCGACCATCAAGGGCTTGGTTGGAGTGGCCGAAAGGCCGGCTGGAGGTCATATTAACAAACCCCCGCCTTGCGAACCGGGGCCCTCGAAAACAACGTCATCTACCGTTAGCTGATGACCGAGGAAGCTGGCCTATCTCACGTCCAAAGGCTTATCTCTCGTCAAGGGGGCCAGGACCAACGGCGAAATGGAAGCGGGTGGCAGGAAGCGGGAAGTGGGAGGCGGGTGAAGCACAGCATATCGCCCGGGCCGGGGACATCATTAGCATTTCCACGCCTCCTAAACAAATTGTCATGGTGAAAGGCGGTGGCGGCGAAGGCCAAATGTCATGCGGTCCGAGCGGGGCCTACAGACAGAATCCACAAATGATGTTTATTATGGTGTTTTAGATAGCCTCGGTCTTCATAAACACCAAAATGAGCCTGCCACCATCACCCAGCGCCCGACTCTCCCTGTTCCGCCACCCCTCTGTTACACGCGCGACTCCCTTTGCTGCGCCACCCTCTGTTACACGCTCCCGACTCTCCCTGTTCCGCCACACTCTGTTACACGCGCCCACACCTCTGCTCCGCCATCCTCTGTTACACGCGCCCGACTCTCTCTGCTCCACCATCCTCTGTCACACGCGCCCGACTCTCTGCTCCGCCACCTTCTGTTACACGCGCCCGACTCTCTCTGCTCCACCACCCTCTGTTACACGCGCCCGACTCTCTCTGATTCGCCACCCTCTGTTACACGCACCCGACTCCCTCTGCTCCGCCACCCTCTGTTACACGCGCCCGACTCTCTCTGCTCCACCACCCTCTGTCATACTTCTTCCACAATTCGTGGCTATCACTGGGCTGGATAAGCTAGAGGGTGCACCCAGAGGTAACTGATTAGTCTGTTATGCATTGGAACAATAGTTCAGTGCTAAACATTCCGAGCAAATGACCACTGCAATCTGAGCAAATGATCACTCTATATTCTGAGAAAAAATGTCACTCGTTTAGGCAGCAGGCATATGGGTTGAGCTTTAGTGCTGGATATGGCGCCAACTCATCGCGCTCTTTACGTAGATAGTTGAAAGAGAGGTGCAGAGATATCGTGTAACCAGTTTTATTTTAGCTTTAATGTGGCTCCTTCAGAGCTTGGTGTCTAGCACCTGCCCGGCGTTTACAATCTCCAAAACATGACATATCTTGGCGAGATCATGTTGGGCAGGGTAGAGACAAAACGTTATGTTTTAAGGCCTTTCGACGTTTTGCGACAGCAATTTCCGGAGAAGGGAAGCTCACGTTATCGTGGGGCCGCCCATGCTACCATGAGTTATATTCCCGATGGGTTAATTTCGGCGGGACAGCATGTTTTTGAGGCGGGTTACGTCGGCAGTAGTGCTTCAAAGGCAGAGCTTACTGCCCCTGCCTGCAGCAGACATCTCGTCAACGCCTGCAATGATTTGCTGACTGCGATCAGGTGCAGCAAATGTGGGACCTTTGC